TTTTTGATTTATTGTAGAGATGAGGTCTTGCCAAGTTGCCCAGGCAGGTCTTGAACATGCGGGCTCAGGCAATTCACTCACCTTGGCCTCCCAAGGCATGGGATTACAGGCTGAGCCACTGAGCCCAGCCAAAGCTACATTTCATAAGCTTTTCAATTCCATCATCAAGATGGTTAGACAGTAAATGTACTGGCCCCTTGGCCAGGTAAAGGAGAAGGAGCTGACCTCTTGGTGGCTGGGAAGAAACTAATTTAAGAACAAATATAACTAAATACATCAATAGATGTAAAAACAAAAACCACATGATTATATTATTAGATTCAGAAAAAGCTTTTGATAAAATCTAGCACCTGTTCTTGATAAAAACCCTCAAACATCTAGGCACAGATGGAACATATCTCAAAATAGTAAGAGCCATCTATGAGAAACCCACAGCCAACATACTGCTAAACAGACAGAAATTGGAACTATTTTCCCTGGAAACCGGAACAAGACAAGGATGCCCACTCTCACCCCACCTTTTCATCATAGTTTTGGAAGTCCCAACTAGAGCAATCAGACAAAAGAAGGGGAGATCAGAGGTATCCAAATATGAAAAGAGGAAGTCAAGTTATCCCTCTTGAAGAAGACATGAACCTTTATCTCGAAAATCCAAGAGCATCTGTCAAAAACCTCCTTGCACTGATAAAAGACTTTGGCAAAGTCTCAGGGTATAAAATCTATGTGCAAAAGACAGTCACATATCTATACTCCAACAATAAACAAACAGAAACCCAAATAAAAAGCACAATCCCATTCACAAAAGCCACACAAAAAAATGAAACACTTTGGAATCTTCCTAACCAGAGACATAAAAGACCTTTACAATGAAAACTATAAAACACTGCTCAGAGAAATCAAAGATGACATAAACAAATGGAAAAAATATGGAAGAATCAACATTGTTAAGATGTCCATCCTACCCAAGGTAATCTACAGATTTAACACAATACCCATTAAACTACCAGTAACATTCATCTCAGACCTGGAAAGTACAATATAGGAATTCATATGGAAAGATAAATGACCACGAATAACCAAAAAAATCCTCAGCAACAACAACAACAACAACAAAAAAACCAAAAAAGCGGGAGGGATCACACTCCCAGACTTTAAACTTTATTATAAAGCTACAATAACTAAAACAGCCTGGTATTGGTACAAAAACAGGCACATAGACCAATGGAACAGGATAGAGATTCCAGAAGCAAAACCTCAATTTCTCAACCAACTCATCTTCGACAAAGCCTCCACCACCGACTGGGGAGAGGAGAACCTACTCAGTAAACGGTGCCTGGAAAACTGGCTGACCACATGCAGAAGATTAAAACAAAACCCCTACCTATCCCCATACACAAAAATCAACTCTAAATGGATCAAAGACCTAAATGTAAAACCTCCAACTATAAGAACCTTAGAAAATGCAGGAGATACCCTAATGGAAATTGGAACTGGCAACCAATTCCTGATCAAAACCCCAAGTGCCCATGCTGTAAGAGATAAGACAGATAAATGGGTCCTTATCAAACTGACAAGCTTCTGCAAAGACAAAGAAACCATCAAGAGAGCAGGGAGACAGCCCACAGACTGGGAAAAAATATTTGCCAACTGTATGTCTGACAAAGGCCTAATATCTAGGATCTACAAGGAACTCAAATGTGCCAAAAAGAAAAAAAAAAACTAGCCCCATTATAAAGTGGGCAAAAGATATGAATAGACACTTCTCAAAAGAAGATGTATGAGCAGCCAACAGATACATGAAAAGATGCTCAGCCTCACTAGTCATCAAAGAAACGCAAATTAAAACCACACTGAGATACCGCCTAACTCCAGTCAGGATGGCCA